AAGACTATGGATGTTATGTTTTCAGTCAGTCTGCCATTTTTTACTTTAAAAATATAACCAAAAATAGAAATTTGGGACTCTCTTCCTGGTGAATTCAAGCATTTGTAAGTCATTAAGTACCAGTCTTTCTCCCAATATTATTTTTGTTTCCCATTAAAATCTATTTTGATATTAATAGAGCTATAATCTGCTTTGTTTGATTATGTATTTCCATTTGTTAAGACAAATGTTAATGTTTCCGTGTCTCCATATCTGTCTCCTGTAAACAGAAGGTAGCCGCATTTTATCATTGTATTTCAGTCATATCATCTCATAAGTGGCAGGTTTGGCTCAGTGACGTTTACTGTGATCACTGACACACCCATTACCATCTTATTTGGTGGTATAGAACTTTCCTGAAAGCTTTTCCTATGCTACTTAGTTCAGCTTTTTCTCTCCTAAGTTATACTCCTGCCCTTTTCATGATGCACAGACAGAAACTTTCAAAACTGAGGTCAAAGCAAAAGCTAAAATCTAAAAGACAGAAAGACCTTGGCAAAAGACCGCCATAGGTCACAAGGGAAACAGCCCTCAGAAGACTGCTCCCAAAAAGAACAGGCCTGACCAGTCAGCCCTGAAGATCAAGGCCAGGGAACTGGTGTCCCTGTGTGGCTGAGGTCAACCCCTGGCCAAGTCTGAGGCCGAGCAGGCTGGTTCAGGTGGCTGCAATGCTGCTGCCAAGCATGGGACCATCTAAACCCTGATGCTTCTGCCCCAACCACAATTAGGAGTTACTCTTACCTCTCATTGGAGCGCTGAACCTTCATCATTTTGTGAGCCTGAAGATAGTGAAACTCACCTTCCTCCCAGATGAAGCTGCGATCTCACGTAGCTGCGCTCCGGGCACCCTCCTCTCCCGCCCTTGTGTCTTTGTTCAGGAGGGTAATTTGGCCCCGGTGACTCCTGGTTATGACCGCTGAAGTCCAGGTTTGACCTTCACGCACACACTCACAGGTCTCTTTGCTTAACATGCTTTCTTGCACTCCAACCTTCCTTCTCTGTGCCTCTAGCAAGAGCAGGTTCACGATGTTGTGTTTCTTCTTGGTCTGCGCTTCTATCTTCTCCTGGATCTTAAATGATATCTAATGTTACACCATTTTAGAGATGACATTCCTCTCTCCTCTTTGAACTTATTCCACAGTCTTCTGGCTTTTATTACTGTTGTTCAGAAGTTGCCTGTCATCCTAATTATTTCCTTCTCTTTCTTAACCTGCCCTCTCTCTCTGGCTGCCTTTTAGAGAGCCTTTGGTCTTTGATGTTCTTCAACTTCAAAGCAATTGAGGTAGGTGAGGATTGCTTTCATCTTGCTTGGAATGTTTTGCTTTTTAAATCTGGGTCCTGAGGTCTTTCATCGATTTGGGGAAATCATCAGCTTCTTTGAATTGAGTTCTCTCACATTGAAACGTGACCAGATGCTGCGCTCCTGCATCTCCCATGCCTCTTAGGCTAGGCGCTCTCAGATTGTTTTTCTATGCTGCATTGTGGCAGACTTACTCAGTCTGCCTTCTTGTTTATTTTTCTATTGGGCTGTGACTGTGCCCCAGGTTTTAGATCTCTGTCTCTTCGTCTGTCCTTATTTTTGACACCTTTTTTGACTACATTTTTTCTGTGACTGCAGTATGTGAACAGCCATCTCGAGTATTTCTGCTGCCCTTCACTCAGTGACTAACTTCACGTGTGTTGCAAATGCCAGATTGGGTTGGGACTGACTTTGTATTAAAGGTTAAGAGAGGGTCCTTCCAGAAACAATTTGCATTTGTTTCTGCCAGGCATCCCCATTGCTAGGATAACTTCTGTGGCTTGTGGTTTCCTGGACGACAGAGGTAGTTTACCTGTGAGTGAAGACCTGTGGGGGTCCGTTGTTCAGTGCCTGTGCTGAGGCTGACTAGGCGTGAGCTGTTTCTTGTGGTCGTCTGTTGGCGAGCTGGGTATTTTCTCCTAGTCTGTGTTCCACTGCAGGGAGCTCATGCAGCTTACAGATGTTTAACCCCTTCTGCCGTTAGGCCTGAGAAATGTTCCAAGGCAGTGGAAAGTCCACTTGCAATTAGAGGACTGTGCCTGCCTGGAAGGTTCAGGGACCTGTAGGCCGGAAGCAGAGCCGTGGCTGGCAGGGAAGTCGGTTGCTAACTTGCTGCAGGAATGTTGGCCTCTTTGAGACGGGCCAAGTGTCCTACTCCAAACAGCCAGGAATCGCTTAATGCAGAGACTGGTCTGTCTGTAGCACTCCGAAGGGCTGGGGATGTGCAGATTAACTGCTAAGGAAAGCGTAAAAGGTAATAATGGTGCCAAGGGTGATTGAGGATGCATTTAAAGTACCAGACTGGCATGTGTCATCTACTGATACGTTGCTTCAAATTCCATTTTGAATAGAAAATGCAATGCAGTTAGCCTAATGTTAATGGAAGTTCCCCTTTTAAAGACAAAGTGTCCTTTCTCATGTTGCTCGTCTATTCGCAGAGCCCATAGGCAGCATGTCGTCCATGGAAGTGAACGTGGACATGCTGGAGCAGATGGACCTCATGGACATCTCCGACCAGGAGGCCCTAGACGTCTTCCTGAACTCGGGTGGAGAAGATAACACTGTGCTGTCCCCTGCCTTAGGTAGGAGTTGACAAACTTGCATAACTGACCAGGGCTTGATCGATACATGTGAATCATCGGCCAGCCACTTACGCACAACCTCTAAGCTTACAGCCAGCTCCTGGCCCCCCGGCTCCTGTGTGGCAGCTGCAACAGTGGTGGTTCTGTCATGAATTTTCCCAAAGATTTGACCTGTTCTACTCCGGTAACTTTGGTAAACAGAGCTTTTTTGTTTTCCCTCCTTTACCACCCAGAAGTCCATTTGAGTCTGTTGCTTACGGTTAAGGACCGGAGTTTGCAGGGAGGTGCGGACTCACACGAAACTCTTCCCCTTTGTGCAGCAGGCGTTTAGGGGCACGTCCACTTTGGGCAAAGCCATGGTGTGTGTCCAGTTCTTGGCTTGTGTTTTAAAACTCAGTTCCTTTCATGCCCTCTCAAAGTTTTTTCACATTCATATAGCAAATATTTACCCAGGTGCCATACCTGTACCTGGGCTCGGTGCGTTTTAAATTTCTGACTAGTTCTTCTGGCCAGGTCAAGGCAAAGCTCCCAGCAGCACCGTAGCCATCTCTAGAAGCTTCTACTATTACCACGGTCTCCCTTCCTCTAAACTTCCCACCCCCTTCTCCTGGCAGTCTGTTAGAACTGTGTCATCCCAGGAAAGAGAAGGGGTTTGGGTGCATTTGGCCCCAGCCTGAGAAGGCCAGAATACTGGAAACCAGAATGAACCCTCACCTGGAGACAAGGAAACATTTAGAATTTGCATATAGAATTTGATTCCTTGAAGAGCCTATTTAGTTCCATAAAACTGGAGAACTGCTCAAAGGTCAATAATTCTGACTTGCTCAGCACTGGCTTCTCTCTCTATATTACTGAAAAGGGAAAAAAAAATCAGTCTAGATCATCAGGGTTACGGGACTGCTCCTAAAGATGCGCGTTACCATAGTCTTGATCTTTGTCACAGTGGCTGACTCATCAGGAGACAGAAGGGTCGCCCTGCAGCCACCTCGCATCACTCAGGGCAGTGTCTTCCAGGGCAGTTCCCTAGTTCTGCAGGCCCCAGGTCCCTAACCCACACACCCCTTTCCTGATGGGCACATTCCACAACTACTGGCAGCAATTCTAAATCGCAAACATTTTTATGACAGGGCTTGTTCTTCCCTGTGTTGTTTTGCAGGGCCTGATTCCAGTGCCTGTCAGAATGACATTACCCTCCAGGTTCCAAATCCCTCAGAATTACGAGCCAAGCCACCTTCCTCGTCCTCCACCTGCATCGAAACGGCTGCCCAGGACATCAGTGAGGGTGGGGAGTCCCCTGTTGTTCAGTCTGATGAGGAGGAAGTTCAGGTGGACACTGCCCTGGCCACATCACACACCGACAGAGAGGCCGCTACGGATGGTAGTGACGACAGCGACTCTTAAACTGGGACATGGAATCCAGTTTTGGCTGTATGCGGAATTCCACCTGGAAAGCCAGGTTGTTTCTAGAGGGTCTTGATTTTTACATAATTGGCAATAATATGTGAGAAACTGAAAGAACAGCAAACAATAAAGGTGAGGACATCAATCAGTAAATAGAGCTAGTTTGTACACAAAGGTTTCTAAAAACAGGCATCCTTAAGGCCACGGTAATGGGGCAGGTCACTGGGGGCTGCCCCAGGAGGTGGCATGGGGGCAGGGCCTGGGCCAGGCTGTGGAGACTCCACAGGGCTCACTTCTGCGTGAAGCAGGGAACAGCCATTTCAGAGGGGGTTTTCTTTTGATCAAATACAACAGCCAACCAGTCCAAACCCTACTGTCATACCCCGGTGCCCAAAAGAACAGAAGCAAGCCCAGAGCAATCCTCCATGCTTTCTCTCTCCTGGAAAGAAACTGGTCCCCTGGCGATGTGTTTCCTCCATCATCACTCCTCCAGCCTAACAGGAGAGATGACAGATGCCCCATCGAGATGAGGGGGGCTGCCTGCAGCCATTACACCCTCAACGCACCCAGCGTCATCTCATCATGGAAGCTCAGCAGGGGTGCCACGCTCAATGGGAGATGAGGGGAGATGGCCACAGCCCGTGACCAGCTCTGGCCCAGCCGCCTGGGCCACATGGAAACCATTAGGTTCTGCTGAAGGGGGACCCCAGCAGCAGGTGGGAGCTGGCGGGGCAGGACTGCAGCATGAGGGATCCTCTGCCCCCTGCCCATGGATGAGAAAAGAGAGCTCATTCCATTCAGTCATCTTCAAGACAGACAAATGTCCAAAAACTTTGATTTTATTATTAAACCTTGTAGTACAAACCTGAAAAGTAAACAAAAAACTCGCAATAAACCACATGAAGTCTCCCTCCCAAGGGAGGGTGCAGAGCAGCGCTAATAAATTAAATGTCAAACTGTAAGCCATAGGCAGAAGTTTACTGTCAAAAAGAGGGAAAGTACACAGCAAGGCCATAGAAACCGGACAACCACATTGGAAAACACTTGACTCTGTTTCTGTAATTGTTAAATATTCCAAAACAGTTCAGTCTTCTGCAACAACAACCAACAAAGTGGATCATAGGACGCTCCTGGCAGTCACCACTGGCAAGCTCAGTGCAACATGGGTAGCTACGGGATTGATGAATCCAATTATGAAACAAAGAACAGCTTGTGAAAACAGTTTCCCTTTTTTATTCCACACATACTGTACACACAACCGGAGAAGGGCAACAGCTACTCCATTATTATTTTGTTGTTGTTGTTCAGTGATGTAAGCAGCACTTATAAATGTTACAAGAAAAACCCTGTAAGCATCCACTCCAACCGATGAAGAAACTGAAATGTAAGGCTTTTCTTCATCTTGTCTTCTCACCCCCCTCCCCACCCCCCACCGAGAAAAAGGCTCAAGTATTTAAAACAATTTACAGGCGTATGTACAAAAGGGATGGGATTTTTTTTTTTTTTTTTCCTTTTTGTTACAACATGAAGAGAAAAAATAGACAAGATGAGCGCAAATGCATTTTCACATTCAAAAAGAACTGCAGGCCTCCTAGTGGCTCTCTATAGGTGATCATAAAGGAAACAAATTTAAAAAGAAAGATTAATGCTGACTTGTGAAGGTGTCAAACAAGAAGCGGTGAGATGGCGATGGAATGTTAGAAGATTGCACGTCGATGACCAAGAAGCACTTACGGCTTCCATCACTTTTTTCCTTTTTTTTTTTTTTTTTTTTTTTTAAATATCTTAAGGATGCTATTGAAGGGTTTTTTGATAAAGTAGCCAACAGCACCAAAAAATAACAGAATGGATTTCCTAATGAAATCAGGCACAGGTCTCCCTCACGTGACCCCTCCAAGGCAGGCAGTCTCTTCCGTCTTCCTCGCTGGCATTCCTTCCTTCCTTCCTTGAACAGATGCATAGTGATGTGCTGGTGGAGAGCCCACTCGCTCCCGGCTCCTCGTTCCGCCTGTGGTCAGGAAACAACGTCCGCCTTCAGCTGCCACAACCGCCCAGAGAAACAAAACGGGGGTGCCCCGGCTTCCCAGATCACAAGCTCATCTGGCCACGGCAGACAACGACAGCCAAAGCAAAGCCATTTCTTTTCAAGTTTTGTGTGTGTGTGTGTGTGTGCGTGCGTGTGTGCGTGTGTCTCCTATCCCTTCTAAAAAATCTGCTCACATGACTGATGGTTTTTAAATTTGTTCTCCAAACTTCACCCTCTTCAAAAATGGGTTAAAAAGCCTTTTTTTCCCCCAACAGTTACAAAAAAAAAAAAAAAAAAAAAAAAAAATCAAAACAAAAAGGCTTTTTGTCAGCCAGGGGCAATACAAATTAATACAGCCCCTCAAGGATTTTTAAAACAGTGACTATACGGCAGTTTCCAAAATCTGACTGCAGTATCTAGGTTTTCTAAGTACAAAAAAAAGTTCAACAGTTTAATGCTAAAACAAAATTAGTTCTCTAAAACCAGAAGAAAATCTTCTTTAGAGCTAGTGCAAAGACAGCTTGAATCCTACAGCAAGTACTCCAAACTAGAATATAATAATTACAAAAAAATATATATAAATCGACCACGGGCGTTGGCATCTTCATGATGAGCTTGAAGCACTTTTGGATGAACCGGAGGCTGACAGCCGGGAGGGGGGCACGTCCACTGTGGCTCTCTTGCGGGGGCCTCTTTTTGGTGTGGGTTTACTGAGACAGTTCTCAATGCTGCCATTTTTACCAGACACTTTGCCGCAGATCTGATTGACCAGACTGATAATCTGTTCCTGTTTGGGGTGAAAGGAAGACACAGAATTAATAACAAGAGCTCTGTCCCCGAGAGCCATGCAGGGGCAGGTCTAGGGCAGAGATCAGCGGACAGGGGTCCCTCCACCACGCCAACTAACAGCTTTTAAAATGCCCCAAAGAGGCTCAGAGGCAGCGCGTCTCCCTTTCCCAGCTCCACCAGATGCCACATTGCATGCCCGGCCCTTTCATCATCACCAGCACCCAGTTCCACCATGGTTTCCCAGGGGGGCTAACCAGCTCAGAAGGGCAAGGCTGGCAGGGAAGCACTCAGCAAAGAGACCGCCAGGGGCTTTGTTGCGTCCTTGATGGTGACACAAATACCCAAGCTGCTTGACTCACTTTAACTACCAGCCACTTAACCTGCTCATGCCAATAAATGCAAACACTTGTCACCTATACATATTTCTATTACTTCCTCTTCTGTTATCTGCAGCAAACAAAACAGCATCCCTGTAATTCACCCAAGAGAATCATTTATCTGTCGGCACCAAAACTATGTGTGTAACTTTCACACAGTACATCCTGTCATCATCCCATTTTTGAAAAGAACCATGGGCGGGCCGGGCGCGGTGGCTCAAGCCTGTAATTCCAGCACTTTGGGAGGCCGAGGCGGGTGGATCACGAGGTCAAGAGATCGAGACCATCCTGGTCAACATGGTGAAACCCCGTCTCTACTAAAAATACAAAAATCCAGCTGGGCATGGTGGCGTGTGCCTGTAATCCCAGCTACTCAGGAGGCTGAGGCAGGAGAATTGGAGGGCAGCGGGTGGGTTAGCCCAAGAGACGCCTATATCCGACAGTTCCAACCCCAACAGTAAAAAAAGCACAAAACTCCGACAACTCAAAAAAAAAAAAAAAAACAAACCATGGGCGGGAGTAGCAAACATGCATCTCACGAGCATCTCTCTGCGCCAGGGGTGTCTGGGAACCACACTGAGCCCAGGAGAGGAGGAAGCCAGCCATGGAAAGAAACGTCTGAGGGCATGATCTCCAGCTCTCTGGAAAGCCCCTGAGATGATGAGGGTGGAGAACAGTGACAGCTGGCTCCCATCACAAAGAAGTTAAAAGTGCCCTCGGAAGGGGTGGGCCACGTATCTAATAACACAATAGCTGTGACCGTGACCGCTTGAGGGACTGATGATAAACATTGATAACGGATAAGTGGATGAGCTGCCTTAAAACCCACTTAGAGGGCTACAGCTACCTGACCATGAGGAGGAGCCGGGTGTGCAGGGGTGTGCGGTTACGGGAGGGCAGCATTCCCCCCTCTGTGTGTGCCCCACTAGGTGGACAGCACCTGCCCCAGACCAGCGCCCTCACAGCAGGCTTGGCAGCGACCGCCCAACACCCCACTCACTGGACCCTGCTCAGCCAGCCTGCAAGGGCCAGGAGCACAAATGGCGCCAAACTCCACAAGGAGCCTCACTGTCCATGAGAACACAAGCCATGAGCTCAGGGATTTGCAATCTAGGTGTGCTCCCCGGACCAACCCCACAAAGGGGGTTGTTTAAAGCAGACTGTCCCACGTCAGCAGGCATGGACCTGGGCGATTTGTGTGCTGGGCACACTGGGAGGGTGAGAACAAGATTTTGCAACGGTCTCTGCAAGTAATGAGCCGGGCGTGGTGGCTCATGCCTGTAATCCCGGCACTTTGGGAGGCTGAGGTGGGTGGATCACAAGGTCAGGAGTTCGAGACCAGCGTGACCAACATGGTGAAACCCCGTCTCTACTAAAAATACAAAAATTAGCTGGGTGCGTAGTGGCGGGTGCCTATAATCCCAGATACTTGGGAGGCTAAGGCAAGAGAATTCCTTTAACCTGGGAGATGGAGGTTGCAGTGAGCTGAGATTGTACCACTAGACTCCAGCCTGGGCAAAAAAGCAAGACTCTGTCTCAAAACAAACAAACAAAAAAAAAACAGGCTGGGCGCGGTGGCTCAAGCCTGTAATCCCAGCACTTTGGGAGGCCAACGCGGGTGGATCACGAGGTCAAGAGATCGAGACCATCCTGGTCAACATGGTGAAACCCCGTCTCTACCAAAAAATACAAAAAAAATTAGCTGGGCATGGTGGTGCGTGCCTGTAATCCCAGCTACTCAGGAGGCTGAGGCAGGAGAATTGCCTGAACCCAGGAGGCGGAGGTTGCGGTGAGCCGAGATCGCGCCATTGCACTCCAGCCTGGGTAACATGAGTAAAACTCCGTCTCAAAAAAAAAAAAAACAATGCACAGCTCAACTCCACAGGGGACACAGGCACAGACTCACTCATCGCGCTATGCCAGCCGCTGCAAGTCCGCACCTTCTAAATGCCTTTGCTCCTCTCTAATTCATCAAAACCAACCACTGGGTCTCAGACAGCCCCTGCATGCCATTCTATTCCCAGGATTCTGGTCACATCAAGACATCTGGCTACAGAAACAGGCTGCCGGTGAAAAGCACAACCCTTTCCAGGCAGCCGGAGGAAGCCTCCCCATGCCGCTGCCTACGCCCAGCAAGGTGCTAGAGCCATGCTCAGCCACTGCGAAGGCTGTGCCTGGACATTTGCTGTTGAGGTGAAGGAGGGACGGCAAGGTGCTTATCGCCTTCCCCCAGCATGCATGATCTTTAAAAAAAAAAAACAGATGCAAAGAGCTCTTCTTCGAGCTCTCCAGTCGTTTAGCTAAAGGCTTATCAAGTGAGACCCACCACGTGGCCCCACTGCCTGGGCCTCCAGACACACCAGGCCCTGCACAGTCATACCAGCAGCAACTGCCCCACTCAGTTGCCTCAAATGTGCCATGACCACAATGTGGCGACCTTCCCCATAACCAGCCTCATCAGAGTCCATGGGAAGCACACGTGGGGAACGAGGGCCGAGCAGGTGAGAGGCGCTGCTGCCACGACTTCCACCGCTCAGGGCGGCCCCCAGCTGCACAGGCTGTGCATCATTATGGCCTCTCTCTCCAGAAGACAGCGAGGCCTGCAGGAAGACACTGGGATTTCACATCATGGGGCCCACCTGCCCCATCGTCCGCAGACACTTCCAGCTGTCCCAGCCTGGAAGGGCTGCTGGCAACAAGTGGAGATTCCACTGCCGACCATCCCACCGTGCCTGAGACAGGTGACCACGAAAAAGGGTCTGACTCTAGACCACCGTGGTGGGGCCCGTGGGAAAGCCAGGGGACTGCTGCAGGAAGAGCCTCAGCCCTGCTTAGAGCCCATCTCTGAAATCCAAATGCACAGTGTACGGGCTGTACGGGAACCCCGCTCCCCTCGGGATCCTACCGTGAGGCCTGCATGGGTTTTCAGCCTGAGAACAGGGCGCCTGAGGCCTGAAGAGCCCTGGTTATCTACCAGGCACAGAACTGCCATGCAGGCTGCCCCTCACCCCCACCCCCAAGAGCAGGGACTGACCTCGTCGTAGCGGTACATGAGCTTCAGCCCGCGGCAGGACTTCTGCTTCTCCACGTGACGCAGAGCACACTCCAGACAGAACACGACGTTTTCGTTCTCTTGTACCACCTGCGAGGAAGAGCAGCACACCAGGTCACAAGGAAGCTCCACAGCGCCCCAAGAGGGTAAGGCCGGAGCACACCCGGCCAGGCAGCACCCCGAGTCACCGCCCTGGCCAGAGCAGCACCGGCACCCACCACCCGGACCGAGGGCTTCGAGGACTAGCAACACAGGAAATGGACTAAAACCAAAACTGACCAACCACCCAGAGCATGATCCTCAACTAGGAAGCTGAGCCACTGACCACCTCCCAGTCAGACCTCTGGGTGGTCCTCAAGGCCCCCGGAGTTTCCTGGGAGAGGTCCGGTCACCACCAGGCTGGTAAAGGCGCGTGAAGACAGTGGTGCATGCGTATTTCTAATCTCTTAAGGTCTGAGGGCTCCTGAGAGTCTGTGTTGGACACTACCCTAGTGCTGGCATACATGTGGAACGTGGAGGACTCGACGTGGGCAGCCATGCGGGGAACATACCCTGGACTTTCCAGCAGCAAAACTGCTCTCATGGTGTCCATGAGTCCACAGAGCTCACAGTCAGCAGAGCTAGGGGCAACCAACACCACCACGCAAAGTCCCCCGAAACTTTCAACGTCACAGATTCCCGACCTCTGCGACTCGAACGAGCTCACCCACCGGCACCAGCCTCCCTGGGCGGGCTGCCCACAAAGCCCGCAGCTGTCCGGCCAGTGTGTGTCCTGCTGCCCGACGCCACAGGGAGTGCTAGGAAGGAGACCCTCACTGGGGCCCTGTCTAGGGCTGAGAGGGGCCAGCTGAGGGGAAACAGCTGCGGGCTTCTGTGGGAGGTGCCCATACCTGACACTGACTCCCAGTCCTATTCTAATCAGAGATTGAAAATAAGGAAAAACTCTAATACTCAAGGTGCAAGCGGGTCCTCAGCCTTGCTCAGAAAGCGTGAGGGGAAGGATCTAGGTTTTCCTCTGCAGTGTTTCTAAGCAAGGAACAGGAAACAAGTTCCTTGGGACTCATATGACACCTACTGACAGAAACAAGACCCTGGAAAGACACTTGGGGCCCAGGACAGGAAGGACAGGAAACAGCAAATTGAAATGCACAAATGTATTGTAATCTGAGCAATACACGTTATAAACCTAAGTAAAACCCCAGTTTTCACCTGTGGATTTCGAATTTTTTTAATTAAATAGGTTGTCAGTGTGTCAGCCAGGCTGACGTGCAGCGGTGCTATCACGGCTCACTGCAGCCTTGGACTTCTGGGCTCAAGTGATCCTCCCGCCACCACACCCAGTTGATTTTTTGTTTTTTGTAGAGACTGAGTCTCACTGTGTCACCCGGGCTGGTCTCGCACTCCTGGTCTCAAGTGATCTGCCAAAAGCACTGGGACTGACCTACCATGCCCAGCCTCACAACATATTCTTTTTAACATAACTTTCAGGCCGACAGGAAACGCTAGATGACATCTCTAAGTTTCTGAAAGACAGCGTGAACATGAGGCCACCTAGTGCCGGCTCACATGGACAGACCAGCTTCACCCACAGGTGTAACTGCCATAAAACCCCCATACATGTGAATAAGGGGTAGAATGTTTGAGGAAGGGGATGGACAGCTGTGCATGGCGGCTCACGCCTGTAATCCTGAGCACTGGGAGGCTGAAGTAGGCGGACCACAGGAGCCCAGGAGTCCACACCAGCCTAGGAAACATAGCGAAACACCCATCTCTACCAAAAATAAAGGAAGCCGGGCGTGGTGGCACACCTACTGTCCCAGCTCCTCAGGAGATGGAGGTGGGAAGATGACGTAAGCCCAAGAGGTTGAGGCTACAGTGAGACGGGGTCACACACTGCACTCCAGCCTGGGCCACAGAGCAACAGTGAGACAGGGTCACAGACTGCACTCCAGCCTGGGCCACAGACCGACAGTGAGACGGGGTCACACACTGCACTCCAAACCAAGCTATGCAACTTTTATTAGTGATGTTTATAAAACATTGGAAGATTTGGGGAAATGCCTGGAATCGTTCTTTTAAGAACAGAATGGCTCTATGTAATACATTTTGAGAACGCTAAGGGAAAAACTGGATAGAAGGAAATCTACAGGATGGGATGCAGGCGGTCACGGACTGCATTTGTCCCCCATCAAATGCATAGGTTGAACTTCCAGGATCTCAGCTGTGGCTGGAGTTGAGGGTAAAGTCCTAAAGAGGTATATCAGCTCAAATGAGGCCATGAGGTGGGCCTAGGTGATACCAAGTCTTTTGTGTCCTTAAATAAGGAGGACATGGAAGATTTTTTTGTTTTGAGATGGAGTCTTGCTCTGTCACCCAGGCTGGAGTACAGTGGCGCGATCTCAGCTCACTGCAATGCCTCCTGTGGTCAATCGATTCTCTTGCCTCAGCCTCTCGAGTAGCTAGCTGGGTCTACACGAGCACGCCACCAAGCCCGGCTAATTTTTGTATTTTTAGTAGAGACAAAGTTTCACCATGTTGGCCAGGCTGCTCTCAAACTCCCGACCTGGTGATCCACCCGCCTCAGCCTCCCGAAGTGCTGTAATTGCAGGTATGAGCCACCGTGCCCGACCTAGATCTTTCGAATGTTACAAAGCCCATCTGACTCATCCGGGAGAGGCTGTGCCCTCTCCTCCACAGGGCATGCCGGGACTCTGGGTGAGGTGGCAGACAGTCAAGAGTGCGAGGCCAGGGAGAGTGAACCCAGGTCTCAGTCCTGGCCCAACACGGACAGGCAGAGACATGGAAGTACTGGCCTCTCGGGAGCGTGCAGCTGAGGGGCACCTGTGGGATGCCAGCACCACGCAGCATATGGGGTGGGCACCTCTTAGCTAGGCTTCTGCGCTGGAGAAGCGGAGGTGCTGGCGGAAAGGGAAAAGACCTGGGAGGATGGTCAGGCCCGTCAGGCGTGCTGTGTGTGGCAGGCCTAGGTGTGCAGCATGGCGGCATGGAGCCATCTACAGTGCCAGCTGGGCATCCCTACCCAGAGAGTGTCAGGACAGCTGCCTGGTGAGAGGTCAGGTACAGACTGGAAGAAACATAGCAAGGGCCATGGCGGTCCAGTCGCCACATAAGAGCTGTTCGGAGCCCACCTCTGGCCTGGAACAGGGGTGAGCAGGGGGAGGAGGCAGGGTGTGTGTTATGAAGCCCGAAGCTGCAGCAGGCAGATGGGCACGCAGCAGCCAGCAAGGCACACTAAGAAGGCGATAGCGTGGAGTGGCTGTGCCAGAAAAGCATCTCTATCCCAGACAGGACAGGGGGAGCATCGGCTTTCACCAAGGACACATTCCAAAGTCCTCGGGGGCTGCGGCAGATGATGACGTAGCTGACCAGAACCAGGAAGCTTACAACAGAGCCAAAGGGCAGAGGCCATGGGCCCGGGCCCAGCAGGGACAGGCCACAGGGCGGGGGTGGCAGATGCTGCCCAGCACTGTGGGAAACCCTCCCCTCACTGCCAAAAAAAGGATGGAAATGAGCAGAGAGCATGGGGGCTGGAGTGACAGAGCAGGACAGTGGGGAGGCCACCTGCTTCCCAGGGAGGAAGGAGGCACTGCAGGGCCCAGGGGAGGGCCACACGTGCGCAGAGCAGGGGGACAGCCTCTGTGTGGCCTGGCCACTGCGGGTGAGGCAGCTGCCTCTGGAGGCCAGAAGCCCTGCCGAGGTCCCACAGCAGAGACGCAGAGATGGGGGCACAGCAGGTGGCCTGGTGGAGGGCGGCTCACCATGGACAGGTAGCACAGGTGCTGGCAGATCTGACACCTCCTCTCCGACGTCTCCAACTGCAGCCACTTTCGAGGCTTTTTCTTCCCGTCCGCCACCGTGCTGCTGCCGTCATGGCTGCCGTAGCGCGCGGAGGAGTGGAGGCCAGCCTCGAACAGCTGCCTGCGCTGCCGCAGCTCCGTATCCCTGCCAGACACAGGAACGGCCCACACCTTCAGCGACAGCCAGCAGAAGAGGGGACACGTGTGCCACACACCGGCCTCCCTCCATACACACCCTCCTGTCGGGGAGTGAGCCCTGCTAGCGGGCAGAGTCCAGCCTGGGTCCCGGCTGCCTTAGTCTAAAGGTCAGGGACAGCCCTGGCTGATGAGGCTGCTCTGTGGCCGGACGTAGTAACTTGGGGACAAACACATCACAATGCCACTGCAACCATGGCCACCTAGCAAGGGCCTCTCCCTGTGTCCCAAGCCAAGGAGAGAGTCAACAAACTATCCACTGGGATCATCACCGAAGGTTTGAAATTCACGTGCTAACAGCATAACCCAGAGCCTGGCTCCAGGATGGGAGAGGCAGCGAGAACTGCACAGGGGGGAGGAGAAGGGGGCCACACAGCAGACGCTCTGCCCTGACCCGCTTCACCCAGGTGCACATCGGGGGAGGGCTGTGGAGGCAGGATTGCTCGCCAGCCACACGCTGGGGTCAGCTGCTGCTGCCTGGAGGCCACACACACACACACACACACACACACACACACACACACACACACACGGAAAACACAAGGGGTTTGGCAAGAAAATGGAGGGTGGGGGGTGGGGGCAGCTACCCATGCCCTCCCCTCACTGGTGTGGAACCAGGCTCTGACACAGTGGGTCAGCAAGGACTGCCAGCGCCCACGTGCCAGGGCTCAGAAGCCAAACTAGAAGTCAGACCCACAAAGGAGAGGAACCTCTTGGCGCTGGAGGTGCTGACTCTGAACATCAAGAGGAAATTATTTTCAAAAAAACATTTTTTTAAAAGCCTTTTCCCATCTGGAAAAGCATGTCATGGGCCAGCAATTCCTAGGGTCTCTGCGGCTGCAGGCAGGGAGCACTGTCTGCCCACCCCGGGCCTCCACCCTGCTGGGCCCCCAAAAGGGCAGCCAGGTTCAGCTCTCTGGCGTGGGCCCTGGGGGTCTCCCAGAACCCTGAGTCTGCTACCTGAGTTCATCCAGAAGGGCAGAGATGGTGCTGAGGGTGGGGCCATTTTCTTTTTTTGCTTCTGCTTGTGCAATCTGGTAGAGTAACTTCTCCATGGAGAATGGCTTAGCTATATGGCGACGCTTCATTTCCTGAAAGAGGAGTCACATCCCTTCAGGGTGGATTTTCATTACCAGGCAGCTGTCAAGGTTTTTCTTGGTGCAGGGGGCAGACAGGCTGTCTGAATTTCCAACTCTTTGCATTTGGATTAAAAACTCTTCCAAATTTTGGCTCCCTGGGAGAAAAGCACCATGTACTAGGAAAAGTCACAGCAGTTCCCTGCCAGCCACAGGCAGCTGCCACTCCTTCACGATGGGTGGAGGCTCTCTGCCCATTGATTCTAAGCAATTACTTTCAGCATCTTCGGTAGTTTTCCAGTACTGTAGGGGGTCTGTCAGTAACGGTCTAATCAAAACTCTTTGTGATACAAACAAATCCCGAACAACTTTTCATTCCTAGAAATCCCTTCAACCACCTCTTCAGAATTTCAAAGACATATTCCAAAAGGAACTATCTACAAACAGACACACGTGTGCGGGGATGCTTCTGTGTGCGCCCCTGCATGGCACTCACACGGATGCAGGGGCGGGGGGGTGAGGCCGGCTCTGCTTACCTTGGCGGTCTCAAAGCCCATACTTGTCCACTGGGTGGTAGCAAAGTGCACAGTTTCAGACACGCTGTAGCCACAGCACACTTTGGACACAAAGGATCCCGGGAAGCAGACGACGAACTGGCCGCTCTGCTGCACCGTCCTGTGCACCTTGATCCCCTCTTTGCACAGCACCTCCGGGGAGATCTGGGGAGACAGGGCCAGGCTGAGGCACACCCCTCCCTGTGCACGGGGACACCTGCGGTCTGCAGGCAATGCATGAGCACCTTAAGAGGCCTGCTCTTAAGGACATAGGATTGTTTTATATGGAAAATAAAAACATGTCATTCCTAACACAATTAGGAACTTCTAAATCGCACTGGCTCAAGAGTGATACAGGTTCACGTGGAGCGGAGGACGCGATAGTCACACACGGGCCCCTCGTCCCTACCTGGCAATGCCAGGGGCTAGAAACAGGACACATTTATACACCAGGAGGCTGCCGGGCTCAGCTCCAGAGCCAAGGAGGCCACGGGACCACACGCTGGGCTCAGAAAGGAGTCCACCTGTCCGTCTCTCCTCTCAGATGGACAGGTGGCCCAGACTGGGGTCAGCTGAGGCCAGAGAAGCTGTCAGAACACAGCTCAAGCCAACACTTCCTGGGAACTCACCAGCCCTGTGATTTCCTGAAAACAGGGTAAGAAGCCTTTGTGCTCACTCCTCTCAGGGGCCCTGAGTTAGGAGTGGCAGGGACAAGAAAACCCAGGGCTCACATCAGTCCCCAACACGAACAAGCCAGAAACAAAGGCCGTGCAAAACCCCAGTGCCCTGTGCAATCCGATGGCAACTCAGTTTGGCTCTTGTGTGAGTGGGCCTTTCTGCCTGCGCCCTTTGGGGGTTTGTTTTGCTGTGTCCTCGTTGCCTCTGAAAGGCAGGTTCACGGGAAACCACGTTCTAGTGCCCAGGAGGCCCTGTAGCTCCTGCAGGCGGCGGCAGCCAAGGGGACGCACCATGACGTTGCTTTCCAGCATCTGCAGGCCTGGGGTGCCGTTGGCTTGCAGCAGGGTGTGGACCACATCCTCCAGCTTGTTCTCCTCCTCAGCAGGAATGCAATACCTGGGTCATTGAGAGACACGAGACGAGCAGAGACTTGACAAGGGGCTCCTGCACGTGCTGGGCCACCCCCGTCTCCCTCAGGGACCCGAGCACACACGGCAGAGGCTCTGCTCTGCGCCAGCAGGGATGGCAGGCTGGCCTGGCAGGGTGCCTGGTCACCGCTGGCTCCCACGCCCCACAGCAGCGGAGCCGCTTCCACCCTGCACGCAGCCAAACCGCAGCACACCCGCGACGTGAGACGCTCATCTTTTATGTAGATCTGACCCATGCGGTGAGCCAAAAAGCCTTCAAACCAGAAACAGATGTTCACAAACCCCTATAAATCAGAACCAGACACACTGCAGCCTCCACGGGCCTCTTCTGAGGCTCCAGCCCTGCGCCCTCCTTCGGTAACAGAGGCCATACCGGAGCGGGACCTGATGCTATCCTCACAAAGAAAACGTGGCTCTCTCGGCCCTCTAGCCAGCAGCAGCAAACCCAGCCCTCTACAAATGCGCCGGGCTGGGGAAGCAGCCATGACCCTGCACAGGCGCCGCCTCAAGGCCAACTCCCTGGCGGATGCCGTGGAGAAATGAGGGTTGGAAAATACCCAGCAGCCCCCAACTCTGCTCCCACTGGGGAGTTCTACGCATTAGGACCTAGCCCACGTGGCATCAGGCCCATATAGTAAGACACGCAGGAGAATCGAGGCCACAACAGACCTGCGTCAGAGGGTGGCCTGGGAAAGTGGCCCACGGACCCTCCAGGGTACAACCATGAGGCTGACAAGGGGCCTTGAGTGCGAGAAAAGGTGGGAGGTGCAGGTAGGGACTACACGGCCTCGTCACGGCAATCCCGGGGAGGGGAGGAGGTTTTGCCCATGTCCTCTGCGTCCCAAGAAGCCCACCAGCGCCACAGTTCCACTTACGGCACGTGCAGCCCCTGGTACCAGGCGGACAGCGTGAATGAGGGAGACATGAGGGGAGGCCCCTGCAGTGCTGGGTACAGGGCTGGCCGCCCTGCCCTTGGGCGTCTCAGGCTGGGAAAGAAGACATCCGTGTGGAGAGGAGCCCAGCAGGTCTTCAGGATGCGAAGCCAGTGAAGGCATCAACCACCATTAAACACAAAGACGTGGGCCAGCAGCTCCGGGCACCGCCACCAGCCCCTCCCAGCAGCCCCTGCCTCCTAGCTGCGGTGCCCGCCTCTGCACAGGCCTGGCCGGCGGGCAGCCACCTGTGACCCATAGGTGTCTGTGACGCACATTTCGCTCTGAGGCCAAATGCTGATTTCAGCTGCTCAGTGAAGGCAACAGCCACATTCAAGTATTTTTTTTTAATGCTCATGTTATTCTCAATGCAAACATATTCTGTTACTGACTCGTAATTTAAATACAGGGTTTCTAACCAAAATCACATGTTTGAAGAGAAACCACACACCACCATGTTCTCTGATCCCATCCGTGCCTCTGCTTTCTCTCCCGTCAATGAGATTCCAGGGGTGACTCCAAAGAGCCCACAGAGAATATCACATTTCGCTATCTGTGACTCAACGTCGTTCAAGCCGTAAGAAAAGCCACACGGGCCATTTCACACCCACTGCCTCCTCAGAGGAAGACACTCAGGCCTCACATCACTGACTTGGGGGTGACCGCAGGAACGCCAGGCCATGCCACAGCAAGCGGAATTCCTCCACAAGGAATGGCCACGCTCTTCTTCCGGGGGCAAGGGCGCTTCTCGGAATTGTCCTGTCTGTCCCCTTCCCGGCTGCTCTCCTGTCCTGGCTCGGCTGCAAGGCTGCAGTCACTCCCCATTCCTAGAGAGGCAGGCAGGGCTCCCCGGGCCCAACACTGAAGACCAGCTGCGGGAGACACTGCGATCACCGTCCACGGCACACAGACCCACGTGGGAAGGGAGCGCTCCCTCACGCCGTGGGTACCACTCACCAGAAAAGCCAAAGCGAGGAGGCTGCAGCCGACGCTGACTCCAAGGAGTGGGAACATGAGTCCCAAGACTTTGTTTATTTTAATAAAGAAGGCTTAATCACCCCATTAGGGCGATTAGCACAGCCAGCACGGATGAACGGCATGCCGGTAACTATCAGACCACACGACACCTGACTGTACTGATTTCCCATCTGCCACCATAAACAAAGACATCAGAGAGCCCAGCCTGGAGCAGGAATGGGTACAGTGAGAGTCAGGATTACAGACGGGGCCAGGTACGGTGGTTCACACCTGTAATCCAGGGACTTTGGAGGCCAAGGCGGGCGGATCACCTGAGGTCGGGAGTTCAAGACCAGCCTGACCAACATGGTGAAACCCTATCTTAAAAATAATAATAAAATAAAATAAATTTAAAAAGAGGATTACAGACGGGACCCGCAACACCCTCTATGGGCTACACAGCGTGCATGTCTCCACAGACAGGAGCCAGATTCCCAGGTCCACTCTATTCCCCACGTGGCCACCGACACATAGGAAACACTGGCGCTTACAGAGAGGCTGAAAATGACCAATCACGAAATAGCACAGCTTATATTCAGTTCACAGAGAGCTGACGACATGGTCACTACCACTGGTTAACTCTGTGTGGCACTCTTCCTACGGTTCCTTATCCCAAATGTGAAAATAACTCTTAGAAAGCAACACGAAAAAGTGACTAACCCGTAAGGAAACAAAAACAGACCTAAGCCAGTAATTCAGAAAACGGAACTGAAATGGCCACGAAGCATTATGAAAAGAATTGCTCATCATCAGAGAGCGTTACAGCACCCTCTAGCACCCCAACTCTTCCAACAGAGGCAGGGGATCCCAGGCTGAGGCTACAGCAGAGAACACAGGATGGGCCTGAACACAGAAAAGCAAGTTCTTAAGTGCTTTGAACCACCTGGACAGGAGGTTCCCCGCACGGAGGTGACCCACAGGGAGGTGACCGCACTCAATGTGGTCACATTGGTTTCTGCTGCCCCTGCTCCCGCCCAGGCCGCGTACTCACCAAATGCAGTCAGCACCAGTGTGTAAGTAGTCGATGTATGGAAGGTGATTTTGGTCTCGAGACCAGCATGAGGTAGAAAAGACCATGCCAATATTTAGCCAGGGAATAGTCACTCCTGAAACAAAGAGTGAAAGGCATTTTTAATAGCTAGGGAACAAGGTCTCAAAGGAACAGTAAGTAAAAATCTCTTCCTTCTGCTAACGCAAGAAGGAAAGAAAATGGGACTCAAAACCAGACAAAAGGCAGGGAGCAGAAGGTGCCTGCTCTTTCCTGCTTGTGATACAGAAGTGCAAGGATATGAATACCGTTTGAATACCACAGCAGCAGCATACCGGCCTCGTGAGGGAGGTGGCCGCCCTATGGGCTGGAGCCCCCGAGAGCCTCAAGGGTGAGGACCTCAGGGCAGAAAGCAAGAAAGCCCCTTTGTTTGGCGAGGCCTCTGCACAGAGTGAGTCAGGCACAGCGCTCCTCAGCTCAGCGCAGAAATGAGTCAGGTTCCAGGACCTGGACAGGCTCCTAGCCACCTTCCCCAAGGCCACGGCCTTCACCGTCACAGTGACCACAACCTCCACAACCCCTTGGTTTCCCCAAAGCCGGCAAAGCATCCATCCCTCACGAGCCCACTGACCATCTGGAGAATTGATGATCTCAGCCTGCGGGAGCCTTAAGGAATTGTGACTTCTGCTTTGAAAGCAGCAATTTCAAGGTTCAAAGCTGGCCACTGAGCTTCTCCCAGCTCCAGACCATGCCACGTTGTTCACCTTTCCACCTTTTCTACTGACTTCACCAGCCATTATGTTACCCCTTTTCTAAAAATCAATTTTCTGACTGGGTGCAGTGGCTCACACCTGTAATCCGAGCACGTTGGGAGGCTGAGGCGGGTGGATCACGAGGTCAGGAGATTGAGACCATCCAGACCAACATGGTGAAACCCCGTCTCTACTACAAATACAAAAATCAGCTGGGCATGGTGGCATGTGCCTATAGTCCCAGCAACTTGGGAGACTGAGGCAGGAGAATCGCTTGAACCCAGGAGGCAGAGGTTGGAGCTTGCAGTGAGCTGATATTGCACCACTGCATTCCAGGCTGGCAACAGAGGGAGACGCTGTCTCAAAAAAAAAAAAAAAAAAAGTCAGTTTTTCAATGCATGTGCTGTACAGGTGAAGACCCCACCCCTCCCGGGAAGTGCCTAGGAGGGATTTCCCAGCTCTGGTCCTCAGCAAGTAGGACTCGTGGTCACAGCTACCTCAGGCAGACAGGTGGCCACAGTCAGGCTTACCAGGCACAGCACCGAGGTGACGCAGGATGGACCCTGTGTTATTGGGGAGGACGGTGAGGTTCCATCCGTGCCTGCACAGGGGAAGACGAGGGACGTTACAAACTGGCGGGGGAAAGATGCTGTCACATCCCCAGGAACACGGACGAGAGAGTCCCAGGTTACCTTGAAAAGGGCTCTGATTTTCCCACTGGGAATCCACTGCCGTGAGTGTTGGTGTCCACCTTGCCACAGTGCACAGCCACGTGGCAGTCCTTCTCTTCCACCAGCCGCCAGTACTCTTGCTGCAGGGAACAGGAAAGGGCTGGTCAGCTCCCCTAAGGTCCCACAGCCAGAGCACAGTTCAACCCAACAAAACCGGGACACGAATGCCTGGTGCGCACACCCCTCAGAACCAAAGCTGTCTTTCCAGAGTGTCTCCAGCAGGACGTGAATGCAGAAAGCAATGACAGGTCACCTCCAGGCATATCCTCAAGATGCCAGAAAGCAGGTCTCCGAGATCTGCACACCCATGTTCACAGCAGTGTTATTCCCAACAGCCAAACGGTGAAAGCCGCCCAAGTATCCCATCCACAGATGGATAGACAAAACCCTTATCCATCCATCCCATGGCCTATTACTCAACTTCCAAAAGGATGTAAGTTCGGACACGTGCTATAACACGGGTGAACCTGGAGAACGTTATGCTAAGCGCAGTAACTGCCGATGATAAAAAGCTTCTGACATGACTTTTCAAGTGTTCCATCTAAACAAATAAGGGGGCGAAGACTGGGGCACAACACGCTTTGACGGCAGGCAGGCAGCAGCGCCCAGGCCCCTTTGGGGCAAGCCTCCCTGCAGTCACCTTCCGCTTTATTCTCAGTGATCACTCCAGAAGCACAAAGTCCTCTTCACTTATCTCAGAAGCCTCCTAAAGCTGGAACCCCATTTAGTGGAGAAGCCTAAACCGGAAGCACCTGGCATCGCATGGTCCCGTTAAGCTCAAGGAAGTGCTACTAGCAACGCCAAGACCAGTTCCACAACACCGTGACTTCCACAAAGAGGGGGCCAGCCTAATGGAGTCAGATCTCCACAGAACCAGAACACATTCCACAAGAAACGGCTGGATTCTCTCAACAGACTCCCTGAGTGCCGAACCCGGCCACGCATTTGCTGAAACTGAGGGCAACCAGCTTCTGCTGGGGGCATAAACAGGTGGGGAGGGGAGGACGGGACTCCTCCCAGCTGGTGGCCAACTCTAGATGCTGTCTGCTGACTTTTTTGGGAAGACACAGAGCACAAGAAGCTAGGCAGTTCAGGCCTGAAGTTTAAATTCTAGCGAATCTCCCTTTTGTGTTTAAATATTTACACAACTGCTGGAGCAAAATCCAGACTTTCAAAGGGAATTAATTCCTGAATAAGCAGCTATAAAATGAGCTCAGCTTCCTTGCACATCACTGTAGTAATAAACTTCTGCACCTCCGGGATGGCCACAGGACATGTGCTGTTTGGCAACACAGGCCCTTTCCCAGCTCCAATGCTCAGCCTAGAAACCCAGGTTTCCTCCGCCTGACATCTCTACCACAAACGCCACGTGTGCTCTGGAAGCAGCTGCGACAGCCACGTGTCCTGGACCAGGGTTCAGCTGCCATCGTGGCCGGTGGGGGTGAGGCAGTGGTGCCTGCAGCATGGCAATCACAGCCACGGGGTCAGGTGTCAGGCCACTGCGTGGCGTTCAGCAGCTGGACCCGGGATACACAACGCAGGCAGCCCCTGCATGTAAGCAGAGACCTAAGAGAGATGAGAACGGTGCTGACAGTAAACCTCTAAGTCCCCACACTAGGAAAGCAGGGTTGACCCGCAGGGCTGGGCATCCTAAGCAACAACAACTGCGGGGGGGGGGGGGGGGGGGGCAAAAGCCACCCAGGGAGGGTAACCAGCCATCCTGGTTTGAGCAGGTTTGAAGGTCACACTTCCAAACCCTGGGCAAAACAGGATGACTGAATCCCCAGTGGTCAGCATGTCTACATGGGACAAACTGACCCTGGATTTTATTTGAAAGTGGTGGCATTAAAAAAAAAAAAAAAAAATACCATAAAAGCAGCAAAAGCCTGTCACACACCAAAAGATGAGGCTGTGGTCAACAAATACCTCCTGTTCCCTGGCCGGCAGCTGCCCTGAACCAGCGATTCGGGTTTGGATTCTTTCCCTTTCCACGACCAAGCACTACTGAGAGCGCACCGACGTCAGCAGCTGGAAGTTCACACGGACTCAGCTGGGCACTGGCCGAGGGGAGGTAAACAAACAGATCCGGTCTCTGTCCTGCAGCGCCGCACACAAAAACTCCCCCTAATTGGTCTGGGCACAGAAGTGCTCACTGTCTTTCCAACCTCATACTAACTCAAAGAAGAGAGTTGGCAGAAGCACAAAAAGGGCAATCTGCCAATCCCATTAAATACAAAATAGAAGAGAAGAAAAAGCACAACTGTGGCTTCAAGGGATTCCAAACATTCTCTTGCACAACAGACAGAGGATGGGGTGAGAAGCAGGCGGGAGGAGAAGGTGAGGGCAGCGGGACGTGCCCAGAAGCGGCCCCGCGCACTCGGCAGCTCCCCACCTTCACTGGAGTGTTTTTGGCTTTGAAACAAGTTGAGATCAACCTAAGTGAAAACTTTTGGCTGCCCTGGTGCACGCTCAACACAGAAGATTAACTCAGCCCCGTGGCATCCGAGTCCTTTCAGTTCCCCGGGCTGCAGAGGTCAGGGCAGGACAGGATGGCCGCGAGCTGGCCGAGGGGAGCCCCCTCACCAGAGGCAGCATGAGGGGCCACTTCTCTCACCTCAATTTCGGCTGGGGCAGGCTCCTTGCTGAAGCACATGCTCATGATATTCCTCGCTGTTCGATAAAAAGTTGTTAGAGAAACAGACCTTCCCTGAAACGAAACAAAACAAGAGTAAAGCTTCAGAAACAAAGCGCAGCCCTGCTGCAACGGAGGCCCCACGCCTGTACGAGCCGCCGCGCCCTGGCTTCCCTGCCGCTGTGGGCCACCTTGTATCCTGAGTTCATGACAGGCAGAGAAGGCAGAAATCCATCCTCTAAGATCCCGAAGTGCCAGCAAGAGAGGGAAGACCCCACCAAGGATCACCCGTGTGAGGGCCAAATGGCACTGCCAGAAACAGAGGCTGACGCCCCGGAGTCCCGAGCAGATGCACGGCAGAGGCGTGGAGGGCGCCTCCAAGGCCCTGCTAAAAAACAGCTTGCAACGGAGGCAGACTTTCTCAGCTGAGCCCACGTCAGGGGCAGGACAAGGCTGCAGGCCAGTGAAGAAACTATCAGTGGCTACCACCTGACGGAACTCGTGACCAGGGATCCCACAGGAGAGAAGCGGGGGAGACAGAAACTGGGTGACGTCTGCACCGGACAGTCCTTGCCAGGACAGCAGCCTTCATCTGCAGTTGCAACCTGGTCACCTTCTTGCCACAGAACCACCTGCTGTTCCCCGTGGCACCTCTTCTTCGATGTCCCTCTGTCACTCTGTTCCCAATGACATCCAAAATGATTTCCTTACTACGATACAATAGCTGAGTGTGTCAGTCTGGGAACCGGGAGTCAGCACCTTCTTTCACCTCCCACACCAAATGTGGTTCATTTTTCAGAGGGAAGCCATCTAAGACCCTTGCTATGATTTCTTTCTTGACCAGGCACATTTATGACTTGAGGCCAGAAATATCTCCTGAGCACCTACTGTGTACTAGGCCAAATCCCAGGGGCTGGAGACAGAGAAGTGCACAAAACACACAAAACCTCTAGCCTCGTGCAGCTTCCGTTCAGTCTGGGGAACACACAGGCCTCAGACACCCAAATACAACACGGGATCGGAGGCGGTGCCAGGTGTCACGGAGAGCGGGGGAGGGTGGTCAGGGAAGTCTTCCCTACGCAGCACTGGCCACTGCAGTGTTCCGGTACAAGTGACAGGGCCAGAAGAGGGAGCGGCAGACGCTTCCAGTCACAGTCAGCATGGCAATGCTGCCTTGGGCCTTTCTCTCCGGCTCCAAGGGAACTAGATGGGGTTCTAACTACAGGAACATACTTCTTGCAATTCCAAGCCGCTCCCGACGCTGTGTTTCTTGTAACATAAACAAAGGGATTGAATTTTGCACCAATGCAGAGTGCAGTGAGCGGAAGTGAGGATGACACCAGCACACAAAAGTCAGCAGCCAGGACGCCAGGGCCGCAGACAGCTGCACGCTCAGGGCCCCCACCCCGTGGGTACATGGCTGCCTCGGGGCTTCGCCACGGCCACCAGGCAGAGCTCCACTATGTTTCTGTGATGAAATCTACAAATATCCTTGACAGGATATGTTTTCAAAAACCCAAACCTCTTATTCGGAGCAAACACTCATAGAATTGGCCTTCTTCGGTAAAAAGTGAAAATGTTGACAGTGTCTCATTGCACCAGTTGGCTATCCAGAGTCACAGGATTCAGCGTGTGCTTTACTTGACAACGGCTTCTCAGTAAAACATTCAGGAAACACCAAATAAAGTTCCCCAGAGCTTACAGTGTCTGGGTCACACTTTCTCTATTCTTAAGAACACTGACAAGTCAGACACAAGGCAGCTGGGTCTTGGCAGGCAGCATCCTGCAACCCCACCAGGCAGCCTTGGAAACAGGATAGGAGACTCAGATAAAAGGCCAAACCCTCTCAGGTCTCAGGACAGAGAGTCGGGAACCTCCTTCCAGAGAAGCGAGCAAGTGTGTGGGATGCAGCCTGAGGCGGGTCTGTGGGGCCTAGACGTAAAGTGGAGCACAATGCCGGGGCCCCGTGCTTCCAAGACGTGTGATGGTCTCAGAAGCCCACACTGCTCAGCTACAAGGGTAGGCAGAGCCTGCAGTCAGGCAGCCGTGGGCACCTGAGGGTACAGTGGGTTTAGGGATAACCCACAGCCAATGCCCAGTGAAGCAGCAACCCCCCAACCACACAATCCCACCAGCTCACCAGGGCTGGAAGCAGAGAACACTTCCCTCCCAGTGAATCCAGAACTGGGACCACAGAGGGCAAGTCTGTGCCGGGCAATTCAGCAGGGACCTCAACTTACAGGTCATAGCTGGGCTTGTCCAGCTGGGCCCCGGGTGTCCCTGCAACCCACTGGCAGGCCGGAGAAGGGAGGAAGCCCCAAGCCTGGCCTCACAGCCAGGCCGGCTGGGAGGGGCACCAGGAGGAGAGCCAGTGACCCCGCTTCCCTTGCTTCCTGGAGGTAAGTTTCCTCAGGATGGCTGTGCTGCAGTGAGGCCTGGCGGAGACGGGGAAACGCTACGTGTTCGTTTGCTGGGTTCTCCCCTACTCTTCCTTCCACAGTGTGAAAGGCGAGATCCATTTTAATGGCTTTATCAGGGATGGCCCTCCACAGAGAGAACCTGGCAATGCTGGACTGGCAGTGAGCTGAGTGGATGGAAACGAGGAGGCAGAGAAGACAAGTGGGCAGGGTCCACTGAGGGTCCAGCCAGTGAGTTCAGCTGTGTCTGGGCAGCTGTCATGCACCAGGATGAGACAGGGGTGCAAAGAGCAGCCAGCACAGAACTGGGGATGCAGGTGAAGCGAAGCATGCAGCCCAGGTCCTTATCCCTGGCAGATGAGGACATGTGCATGTGCACGCAACATGCACACACAAGCCAGTTAACGAAAAGAAACCTGAGGCCCAGGGCAGGCAGGAATGGACCTGTGGTGTCTTCGTGGAGTGGACTTCCCCTCCCTTACTGGGTCCCTTGCCGCCCCACCTTGCAGCGTTCCATCAATGCACCCAGAAGGCCCTCACTCGGTTCCTGGATATCAGACTTCCCAGGCTCTACAACCATGAGCCCATACATTTCTGTTCATCATGAATTGCCCAGTCTGTGCTGTTTTGGCAGCACGAAGTGGACTAAGACAGCGCCCTTGGCCGGGCGCGGTGACTCACGACTGTAATCCCAGCACTTTGGGAGGCCGAGGCAGGCGGATCACCAGGTCAAGAGATCGAGACCATCCTGGCCAAAACGGTGAAACCCTGTCTCTACTAAAAATACAAAAAAAAAAAAAAAAAAAAGAGCCTGGTGTGGTGGCACGCGCCTGTGGTCCCAGCTACTTGGGAGGCTGAGGCGGAAGAATCGTTTCAACCCAGGAGGCAGAGGTTGCAGTGAGCCAAGATTGCTCCACTGCACTCCAGCCTGAGCCACAGAGCAAGGCTCTGTCTTTAAAAAAGACAAACAAAAAAAAAGCCCTCATCCAGCACAGTGGCCCGCCCCTCCCTCATTGCCCCAGGGAGTCAGAGGGTGCACAGTCCGACACGCAGCACGCCCTCTGCTTCCTATTCCTCCTGCACTCCTGCCGCCAGCGCTGGCTGCTCTACACAGGCCCCTACCTTATATATGCACTTGTGGAAGTCATTGAGGACGCCTTTGTCCTCCTCCTCCTCCTTGACCACTTCTTTTTCCTGAGCGAAGAGTCGCCGCCGGCCGGTCTTCAGCTGGGCCTGGCCCACCTCTTTGAGCTTGCTGCGGAAGCCGTTCCTGGGGGCCACGCCGTGGATGAGCCCATTCTTGGGCTCGAAGCGGGGCAGGGGGTGGAACTTGTGGTGGTCATTCTCTGTGTGGCCTTCCAGCGGCCCCTTGCGCTTCTCCAGGATCTCCTTCTCCATCAGCACCTCCTTCTCCAGCCGCCGGTGCTCCTCGGGAGACAGGGAGTCGTAGGACAGCAGGTACTGGCAGTAGGCTTCCTGCAGCTTGGCCAGCCGGTCCTGGGCAGTTCTGGGGATGCGCAGCATGTCTGCTAGTTTGTTCCATTTTTTGAGGTCAGTCACTTGCTGCATGCCGCCCATCTCATTAATTAGCCGGAAAAAGCAGGCCAGGTCGAGCTCGCAGCCCCCTGGGACGGTGAAGGGGAAAAATGGGATAGTTAGTGATAGGGACACGAACAAGGCGTTCCTCATTCAACCTGTAATTCCTGAACTACTCCTATGAGCCAGGACACTGGCAGCCTCTGGGGAGACAACGGAAACGGCAGGCTTCCAGTCTACAGAGACAGGCGTTACTCGGGGATGGGACACAGCCATGTACGACGAAGATCAAGTGGAACAAGGGGCCACCATCTTAGGTGGGGGATGTCTCAGGAGGCAACACTGAAGCTGGGGCTTGGCTGGAAGAGGAATAGAGCCGGCCAGACAGACATAAGGGGAGAAACATCCCAACGCACTAGTGCCTGTGTTCCTACATGGAGGCAGGGGTCATGAGAAGATCCCAGGTGAGGAGCAGGCAGGGGCCCCAGCCGCATCCACTTCCCAGCATAACCTGGAATATGTTTGATGTTAGAAATTACAGACACACCTTTCCTACCAACTCCCAAGTTCCCTTCTGAGAGCCCCAACACCCACCCACTCATTCACACAAAGGAAGTCTATCTTCAATCTCACTGCGTTTCGGGAGCAAAGAGCAACGCCTGCGTGAGGGCACAGGGCAGTATGTCCGTCACTTAGCCTTGTCCCTCGCCCATGAGGCTACTCCTCAGTGAGTAAGCTGGTGCTTAGGGCCCCTGCTGATCAGGTCAAAGAGCACCGCAAATGCATATTAAACCTCAACAGGTTTCAATGCACATCCAGTGAATTCTCCAGGGGAGAACTGAAAAAGCAACCTCTCTCAGGCCAATAAGGGAGGTGGGAGGGGGCATCTTCCAAAATAATCATCCATAAAATGCTAAACAAAGTAAAAATTAACAAAGTTTTAAATCTTTGGAGTGTGGGGATATACTGTTTTTAAATAATAAAAGGGAAAGTGGGCACAGATCCCATCCAGGCAGGGTTCCTGCAGACACCAAGCATGGCGGGACCCACCAGGTGAAGTGTCTGAACTACCTCGGCAGACACAGCAAGAGAGCAAGCTCCTGGCACATCAGCAAGACCAGGGATGCGGGCACAGAAGCTTGAATTCCACTCCCACTAAATGGCAGGACACTGGGCTGATTTGGTTGTAGAGAAGAGAGGTGTGGGGTAACATCAATGAGGAAGCTGTTACCAGTCTCCACAGGAGGGACCTAATGAGGCTTGAGACTCCGCAGCTCACTACAGGTCTCAGGCTCCCAGAGTCACGGGTGGTCTCTGGCTGACAACTGCGAGTTCTTCCTCTGAGGGCAGGCGGGCACTGGGTCCCCTTATGGAGATAGACACCAAAATGAGTGCCCCAACTAAAACAAGTACTCCACTGTACCAGTGGGTCAGAACACAGGTCAAAGAGAAGAAGAATCTATACTTTCATATTTCACTCTCAGTAGATTATAATGCAAGAGCACCTGAAAATCAGACAGCACTTGCAAGAGTTCTTCATGGAATCCTCACCCACTGTGATCACTCCCACTCAGAGCCTGGAGGCTATGTGGCCAAGTCCTTTCCCCACCCAATTCCCCCCGTGGCACAGCCACTACCAGGCCTGCAGTGCATGTGAACCTGCACAGATACAGAAGGCACACACACTGGGGGGGATTTTCACGACCACTTCAAAGTTATTAAGTTTCTAGTACTGTCAGATGGCTGAGCTCAGAACCCCCACCCTGAGGCCCTCCTGGCTCACAGGCAGGTCAGTACCCCTTGGAATGAATGTCATACGCCTTAGCCTTCTCAGTGACGGCAAGAAGCAGCAGCACAGCTGGTGAGGCAGTGTGGCCTCTGTTCCAGGGTAAGGCAGTCAAAGGAAAAGAAAAACCTACTGTAAACAAAAGGGGCTGTCACTATGACACCAACTGTGTCTGTCCTCAAGCCTCCATCATCCACCGAGCAGAGCAGAGAAACTCTTGTCTGCAGGTTTCACCACGGGCAAGAGGACTTGGTGCGCTTCCATCGCTGACTCAGGGTCCCCCTGTGTCCCAGGCAGTCACGGAGCAGGGTTAAAGGTGTGGGTGGGTGCACGCATGTGCAGAGCCTGTTCCCCGCACTGCTTCCTGTCACGTGCCGTTTCCAACAGCAGAGCACAAACCAAGAACTTCTGCAAATTAGGCTGACCATCACTCAGGCATTAGTCCCGGCAGGCACCTGCTGAGGGGACCATGAAACCTCCATTGCATGGAAGCCTGTCTCGCTGCCGTCCCCGACACTTACATAATGGCTACATGTCTCCATGCCGTAGAAAATTCAGGATCTCCAACATGGAGGCGTGGCCTGTTTCCTCCCATGGGTCTAGACTCATGGGGCTGCAGCCTTACCTGGATGCACCTGACTCCACAGACTCCACTCCACCTTAACAGGGCAAGTTCATCCTCACCCTGTGTTCCCAGCGCCAGGACTGAGAAGAGGATGACAGGAGAGGGGGGCTACGGGGGAACTGGAGAGGAGGCTCTGCCTGCGGCCCACCCTGAGGGGCCAGGGTCTGCACGGCAGCCGGGATGTGCGCTCACTAAGGGTCCCCTGTGGTGAGTTTCCAGCAGCCTCAGTGAGAGTGCACCGGGTCTCAGAAGAAATATTAATAGATCCCTTGACCTGCGGCCTTGACAAAATCACCGGAGAAACTGAAGCTCAAGGAAACACGAAGAGGAAGAAGAGAATAGACAACGCTGAGAAGGACGAAAAATGGCCCACGGGCTCCTAGAGGACCATAGGCTGCAGGGTGAACCTTCCGAATTCATACATTGAAGCCCTGACCCCCAGCACCCCAGGACGTGAATGAATTTAGAGATAGGGTCTTTCAAGGAGCCATTATGTTAGAATGAGGTCCATAGGATGGGCCCTAATGCAATGTCCTTCTGAGAAGAGGAGATGAATACACAGACAGAGGTGGGACCAAGTGAGGACACAGGAAGAAAACAGCCATCCACAGCCAAGCGGGGAGTCCTCGGGAGAAACCAATCCTGTGGCCTGAGGCCTTGGGCTTCCAGCCTCCAGAACTGTGGGGGATGTCTGTTGTAAGCCCCACGGTCGGTGGTGCTTTGTCGTGGCAGTCTAGGAAAATCCAGAGGAGCAGTGCTCCCCACGGGCCCCGGGCCCCTGCTCTGACTCCAGCATTTGTAGGCAGCAGGTGACAGCCCAGGGAAAGCAAGGGGCCCAGAACCCAAGTGGGGGCTAACCCAGGATCCAGGCTCAGTACCATTCTTGTCCGGCCACCGACACCCAGGACCTGGGAAGAGGGCTGCAGGGGAACGAGCTGAGAAGCCCGCTGCTCCCCAGACACCGGAGCCGAACTGGAGCTTCAGCATGGGAAGGGAATGTGAGGACTGTGATGAACTGCAGGATCTGGGGGCAGGCAGGGACCCCCACCCCGGCGCAGACCTACCTATGAGCGGGAGCTCGTCCATGGTGATGCCCTGAGATTTGAGGTGCTTCTTGATGCAGGCCAGCCGCTGCACGTTGGGGCCCCAGCGCCGGCCCAGCTTGTGGATGTGCTGAATCTGCGTGACGAACCGCATCTCGTCGTTGAGCTTGCACTCGGGCCGCCAGTCCGGAGGGGGGATCACCCTGCACATCCCGAACTTCTCCACCTGAGCGCGGACCGACTCGATGTAGATGAGCGGGTCGTGGAACTCCTTGGCGGAGGGCCTGAGGACGGGGATCTCGTCCATGGCCGCCCACCCGGCCTTGCCGCCGCCCTTCTCGGCCTTGCCCGAGTCGTGCTGCTTGGGCACGGACTCCGGTTGCGAGGTAGAACGATTTTCACAGGAGGCGCCGTCCGCCTTGCCGTGTGCTTGTCTGCCTGGCGTGCTCTTCCCGGCCGTGGCCCGCTTCGGCCGGTTTCTCTCCAGGCTGCGCTCGGGCACTTCCTTCTTCACGTGTCCGTTCAGCAGACCTTTCTCGGCCGGGGCCTTCTTGCCAGGGCCTTCGGCGGGGCCAGCCGCCCCTTTCATCTTCTTGGGGGGCGACTGCGGCTTCTCCGCCTGCTGTGCCTCTTCCAGTCTCCTCTTGGAGTTCCGCAGCCCCTCCCGCAGCTGCCGCCCCCCCACCTCCTTAGTGCATGACTTTGGGTTCAACCTGCCACTGACCTTGAGGCCATTGACGGCAGGCCCGGTGGACTTGGACGCCCCCCCGAGGGATAGCACCTGTTTGCGGGTTTTTGCATTGCTACTTTCAGTTTTCCCTGAGATTGTGTGGTTGACAGCGGAACTGGGCTTGTGGTGATTGGGTTTGGTGTCCTTGACCAGTTCTCTCTTGGCTTTGGTGTATGTGACAGCCCCCTTCGTCACCGTGGCAGTGTACTTCACAGTTTTGGATGGTGAAGGTCTGACCTCGCGCATCTTTTTGGCACTGGTTGCACCTGCACCCAGAGATGACATTCGAGTGACTCCGTTTACCTTAGAGACCTGTGGAGCAGCAGAAGCAGAGGCGGAAAAAAACACAGAATCAGTACCTGCCACAAACACAACCGGCCCACCCATGAGAAAGGGCCTGGGACCTGGGAACGAGCAGACCCAGCAGCCTGTTCATAAGAAGAGATGTGGAAATACCAGCAAGAGAAGCACAATACACGTCCCAGAACTAAGCAGTGATGTCCACGTTCAGAATCAACTATACCCTAATCCTTCTTCACAAAACTATACGGCCTGCCCAAGGCGATTCTTGCAGGGTTTCCCGGCTGCATTTTCATGCTCCCACGGCTCTTCCAGGAGATTTGGTGTTTCCCAATGAAGACGTCCCCACGTGCCACACAATCACTTGTCCTGAGCTTGTAAGAGTTGGTGACAGTAATACCCTACTTGCTTGGGGGAAGTGGAAATAGACACACTCACATATCCCTGCTCCAAGAAAAGTCATGTCTGCTATTTCTGTACTCCACAGAGCAGTATGACCTGCCCACAGGATTTAAAAATCTATGTGGCTAAAAAAAGAAAGAAAACAAAAATACTATGGAAGGAAAAGAACAGCAATGCTCATGTGGTTTGGCTCCGAGTGGCAAGCCAGGCCCGGAGGTGTGGCTGCAAACTGTCAGCAGCTGCTGTCTGCCTTCCTTCTGGAGAACAGCCCAGGACAGGGCCAGCCGGGATGGAAGAGGGATGCCCGGAGCTCAACGGTGAAGTAAAACACGCCAACCCTGGACAAACTTTCCCATTGGGTTCTATGTGACCTGGGCATACAGAGGCAGTCCTATAGCTTAGACACCATGGCAATTCCGGGATACATACATGTCAGAGAAAATGCGGAATGACAAGGGCAGACACCAGAAATGCACAAGCTTCCAAACGAGAATAAGGAAGGGACCGATGGGGTCCCTTGGGGCTGATGCCAGGCTTGATGGTTTCAGGAAGTCGTCTCCATGTCACACCGTGGCTGCTGTCCCATCACTTAACCTCTTGGACATTACTTTTCATCTATGACATAAATTTCAAGTCAGGGACTTCAGGGTTTTATAATCACCACCATCTCCAAAGGAAGAAACTTAAAAGATTACTGAGAAACACAGAATAGAAACACTAACTCCCAGGCCAGGAGCAGTGGCTCACGCCTGTAATCCCAGCACTTTGGGAGGCTGAGGCGGATGGATCATGAGGGTCAGGAGTTCAAGACCAGCCTGGCCAAGATGGTGAAACCCCCTCTCTACTAAAAATACAAAAATTAGCTGGGCATGGTGGCGGGCACCTGTAAACCCAGCCACTTGGGAGGCCGAGTCAGAGAACTGCTCGAATCCAGGAGGTGGAGGTTGCACTGAGACGAGATGGTTCCACTGCACTCCAGCCGGGGCAACACAGTAAGACTCAGTCTCGAAAAACAAAACTAGCTCCCTTTTCTCTCCAACAGCACCTGAGAGGAAGGTGCCAGGAAGGGGAATCAGGACAGCTGGCCACATGCGGTGATGGACAAGAGGGCACTGAAACACCAATGCCACAAGGCTGTGCAGGCTGTCCTCACATGAGGATGAAGGTCCCCAGATGGTGAGTAATGAGTCTTAGTGACCTTTCTACTAAATCTAGGCTGGCCCAAGAATAAGCAGTTACCTTAAGTGGGGTGGGGCATGGGATGAAACTTCCCCAAAGCACCCAAACCAGTGGCTCTCAGCATCCCCTAGAGGGCTGATGTAAACACATCACTGGGCCCTGCCCCCAAAGTGTCTAATTCAGAGGGTAGAGGAAGGGGCCGAGAATGTGTGTTCTGGACCAGATCCCAGGCAATGCTGTGGGCTGACCTGGGAACTGCACTTGGAACCACTGAAAAAAGTATCAGTGGAAGTTCATAAAAATCAAAAAGGAAAGAAGCCACTGTATTTCTCTACATGCCACCAATTAAATGTAGTCCAATCAAAGTCACAAATTCTTGGTAGGACATCTCTTAAGGGCCACCCCGGGAGGCCTCACTCCTGGAGCCAGGATCAGAGGCCCCATGAAGAGGCAGAAGGAAAGGCCCAGGAATCACACTCTGGCTCCTAAACCACTTTGGGAGGCCAAGACGGGCAGATCACCTGAGGCGGTCAGGAGATAGAGACCAGCCTGACAAACATGGAAAATCCCCGTCTCTACTAAAAATACAAAATTAGCCAGACATAGTGGTGTGCGCCTGTAGTCCCCGCTACTCAGGAGGCTGAGGCAGGAGAATCGCTTGAACCTGGGAGGCAGAGGTTGAAGTGAGCAGAGATCGCACCATTGCACTGCAGCTGGGCAACAAGAGCGAAACTGTCTGTTAAAAAAAAAAAAAAAGAAGCAGGACTGATAGGGTCTGGAATAAATAATGGGAAACCCTTTTTGGGAGGAATAAAGTTCCTGGAAATGATACATTTAAAATAGATTTATAAAACCAGGAGTTAGGACAGACAGAAATGTTCTCTGGTAAGTATCACTCATCTGTAAGAGGAGGTACAGTGAGGAATACAAATCTCTTGTTTCAACTGTTCTTTCAAATGCTTTCACTGAAACCAAACCAAAACAAAACATTTAGAAAAACAAAAGCAAACAGTAAACTCCAGCTGGGGCTCATCTTTATATCCATCATCCAAGACAGGGAGGTCGATGGACCTCAGGTATCCAAGACCTTGGTGAGGAGGTAACACCTCTACAGGTGACTGAATCTCCTCTTAACCCATAGGGGTGCAGTCTGTTTCAACCTACTGCCAACACAGGAGTCTCCTTAAGGAGGCTGGCTACACAATACGGCTTCATCTATTCCTACAGATGGGGAAGCACCTGGCAAAATGGCAAACTCCATATGGTGCCAGACATAACCCACTCCTGTGAAGTTCAGGCGTCCGCCACCACTACTTGCTGAGGTTTAGTTCCGTGCTTTCCAAACCTGACACCCCTAAAGCCCCTGGGGGAGCTTCAAAATAATTTACACCCCTTCCCTCTAGATTCTGTACTAACTGGTAAGGATCAAGAAAGGGACTCTGTTTAAAAGCCCCGGGTGGCTCAGTGTCCCCACAAATCCGTGGACCCTGCCCTTCCCTAACACCACTGTCCACATGCCAGAGTGCAGTGCTACGTGTCTCATATTCTATCTCAAGTAAGAGTGCAGGGCCTTTGGGTCCATCCATTCCGGATTCTTGGGGTCCCCGAGTTCATAGCTAGCAATGCTACAGGGAGATAAATTTTCTACACAGCTGAATTCTATATATCACTATCTTCAATGGCAAAAGGAACAACTTGTTTAAATGTTTCTGACAACCTAAATACTGGATTATTGCCAAGGTATACATTCAGATAACTTGCTTAGTGAGAAAATAACAGTTATCTTCAACAGTATCTACCCAGATATCACACACGCACACCCATGTAACAAGCTCAAAGACGAGATGGACCTCACCCACAACACAGAACAAATTACAAAGACTAAAAATGGCAAGTGGACTGGCCGTCTTCCCCCTTGACACATGTTCTGTGCCCAGCAGGAAAGGCCACAGGGGAGCTGACACGCTAACACAGGAAGCAATCTGCCCCTTAAGCTGCTTCATGTGCCCTAACGGGGAGAAATAAAACAGAACAAACCACCCAGCCAGCAGCACCACAGAGGGGAAACCCAAGACCAATCAATCCAACAAAAAGATACCCCTGTTCTTGGCCTGGACTTGTCTGTAAGCAGCCAACGCTTCATCAGTACAAAAGAAAAGAATGGAGGATGGCATTGTATTACCTTGCTACGAAGGTCTCCCCCAACCACCTCTGTATCAGTTAAAACCACACAGCCCAGTTGTGTTGCCAGCGCACTACAGGGAAGGTGTCCGCTGCACGTCCTGAGGGATTCCACAGAAGGGCACATACAAGAAGCCACCCGAGCTCACTGAAGAATGAGTGCCGAGGCACACTACCGCAGGACCCTCCAGTGAATAACAATACGTTTCAGCTGAGAAGCTTTATACATAAACAAGCTTCTTCAGAGCTCAAGTTGCTCCTTCTCTCAGGTCTGTTGTGGATTTCTGGCTTCTCAGCCCGTTCCCCCCTAGCTGCCAACCCAGTTCTGCAGAAAATGAGGTGTCTGCAGAATGTGTTGCTTGGCTCATAGCCAACCATCACCTGTATCTCAGGTGATTCCAGGGGCATGGCCATGAGGTTTTGGAGCAACCCCTTCTAGTCATAACAGAATGAGTTCAATTTAACAGGCAAGGTTGAGAGCATTTTCCAGTTACATTCAGCTTGATGAATAGTTGCAACAATACCTCATTCTTCTTGCAGAAGGAATATGAGATGAGAGATATGGAAGCCCAGGAGATCAAACGTTCCTACCTTTGTTCTTAATAACAGAAATTCCATAAAAACTGTGCCCAGTCCACCCTCTTGTGTGCTTACTTTATAAAATACCTCCCCTCCACCCTTACGGGTTTTTCTCCACCTCCTTACCGTCACACAATATTTAAATCAACTCACTATAATGACAGATGAAAAGGAGAAATACACTTCCAAGGCAGAGCAGAAGATAAGAAATGACTCTGATGTTTTTGGTTAACTAAGCAAAAATGTTTTAGTCGCTCAAGATGATGCTGCTGTCCTCGGTTCAACCTCAGATTCAGTGGCGAGCTCTTCTTCCCCACGAGAGGGAGCCGTTGAGCCGAGGCCTCTGCCAGCCTTTCAAAACAGAGCCAGAGCCCAGAGAGAGAAACAGTTGGTGGCTAGGGGTAGTCCATTTGCGCTTTAAAACTTGAATCAAACACAAAGAGCCTAAACAGAAGCGAAAGGCGCTGGACAGACAGTGAGTTATGGAAGGGGAGGAGCAGCCGGCTCAAACACGGACCGCAGGAGCAGATGGGCAGGAGCCTTCCAGCCAAGGCCAAGGCGAATATGCTTTGGGAGAGATAAGTGGGTCCTACCGGAGAATCTAGATGTGTGCATAACCTCTCCTCCCACTGAACGCAACCTAACAGGGTCACAAACACCACACCACCAGCAAGTGCAATTCAAACGACACAATGTCATCAGAAAAAAACCTTAAACATTTTTTAAGGCTGATACGATTTTCTATGTTTCCTTCTTGATGGTCGTATTTCATTTTCAACAACTTTAAAAGAACATTCTCAATTCCTTGGCCTTCTCTGAATCTTACAAAGGCAGGACTTCTCTGCAACCCTTACACATTTTCATGTGAAAACCTCTTCAGTGACAGTAGCCTAGCTCAGTGGAATCCCCTGCAAAGCCAGCAGGATTGCCAGCTGATCATTTTCTTCTCGCACTCAGCCTCAGCGCAAGAAATGAAAATCACACGTGACCACATCTGGCGCAGCCTAACCGTCCATATCCTGGCTTACAAACCACACAAATTTCTACACGAGTAAAAAACCTGCTCTGACTCTCTTGGAAAACTACTGCTTCAAAACCCTTGCTAGGGATAAAGCTTGTTTGCTTGACCAACCTAAACTCGTTACTCTCTGAGAAGCACTATTTCAGGAAAGCAACAGAAAAACGCCATTTGCTCCTTGGTGAGACCCTTACCATACAACCAAGTTAATGCACAGAGGCAATCCCAGCCCCCTGACAATTGCAATGTTACACAGGCATGTGATTCCAGACAGAGACAGCTCATTTGGTATTATCCACAGTAAAGGGCTGGCCAGAGCCCTCCTACCAAAAACATGACATTGGTGAAGTGCGTGGTGGTATGTTCTAAGTCTCCAGGGCCTCCATAAATCGCATGCACTATCACATGGCATTACCCGGTGCGCAGGAGGGGAAGTGATTTTACACTTGGCCGACAGGCACATGTCCCCACATAGCTCATCAGAGCAAGCAGGGAAAAGGCACTTCTCAGCAGCACCCCCAGAAAGCTATATCCCTCCACACTTCAGACAATTACATTTAGGCTTTTAAGCTGACAAAAACAAAACAAAAAAACCCACATGTCATAGTTGAAATGAAAGATCAGAGGATCCTCTGGACCCATATCCTTCCGGCAGCTGAAAAGATGAAAGGTCACGGTCTAATCATTTGCATTAAGCAGTCACAAGGGAATCTACAATTTGTTTTTATTGACCTTATTTTCAGAGTACTTAACTAACAGGACCTGGGGGTTGGAAAATTTTTCCTTCTATTTCTCACAATGTCCCTGTGCGAGGACTCGGCAAGACTGGCTCCAAAGGAGTAATAGGGCCCGGGAAGGTCAAATAGCACATCTCAAGTCTCAATGAAGGGCAGGGTCAGAGCCAAACTAGAATCTGTAGCCATGGGTCATTCCATCTGGGCTGGTTAGACTGGACCAGGGAGGGAGGAGGAGAAGGAAGAGGGAGAAAGGAGGGGAGGGGTGACAGGAGAGGATCTTCATCCATGAGCACAAGGCGCTACCTCCAAGGACTCTATCCTGAGCCCTGGAAGCAGCTGAGCTCCTGCACTGACTCAGACAACAGAGACGGGCTGTATGAGGGGCCTCCTTCCTGCAGCTCGGATCCTGCACAGGGAACAGGTCACATGAACACGCCATGGAGCACAGGGGCAGGCAGGGCCATCCCAGGCTAAGGCGGTACTTTCTACGCCTCCTCAGCTCTTTGCTGTGCCCAACTGTGGTAATCCCTCTCATCCCCTTACAAAGGGAAACCCGAACTGAATGAAGAGCAAGGGCTGAGAGTAGGCTCTGACCAGCTAAGATGACAGGTGTATCTCACAGGTCCCCATTCGTGACTGTGCAAGAGGGTGTGCACACACGTGTCTGCCGTGCATGAGAACATACACAGTCACATGTGCACTACTCAGGTCCTAGGCCGCCCTGCATTCCTGCCCTCACCATCCCGAGAACGGGGTCTCGGGGCAGAAGGGCACGATTTGGAAGCTCACCTGAATATGGCCTCCAGTCCTGATGCGGCCCATTACAATTTTACCATGACTTAAAAACCTCAAAAAAGCAAAGTGGGATGAACAGAAGATAAACGGAAACAACTCTATTCTAGGATCCTGGGAAAACAGACAGGATGCAGTCACGTGGAGTAATTGCTGTCTTTCTCTCTGGGTCACTTCTAATTCTTTTCTCTTTCATGAACGAAAACCTTATGTTGGAGAGTTCTGTACAAGTCTCCATCGGACCGACGGCACTGCAAACAGGGTGGGAGTGAAGAGTCAGAGACCCACGGCCAACAGCCTGGTACCTCCCTGGGCTTTGTGCCTCCTGTGCTGACAACTGGGGGCCCAGTGGTTGAGAGAGGCCACCTGAGCACATGGTGTGGCCCAAGTCCACACTGTGGCTGTTGTCTCTGGAGGTGTTTTGGCAACAGTGGCCAGCATTTAATACATGCTAGGTATGTGTGGACTATGGAACATGAACGTGGTGATTCCTGCTCCATCCCCGCCCCCACCAACAGCATACTGTTTGACAGGGAAAGGTTCATGTGTGCATGCACAAATACCTCTGTGCCTGTGTGTGAAGAGTCACATGTTCACGTTCAGAGAGAAATATGTCCAACATCATCAAGAATGAGAAAGACCATCTCCAGCACGAGATGAAGTTGAGTATTTTCACAGCACAATGACCACGTGTTAGTCATTCTGCAACACTGCCAGCCGGGACATCTCTTCTGTCCCCTCCACAGTTTCCTCTGAATCTACCTCTGAAAATCATAGCCTCCGGTCTCTTCTGGGGAAGGTTTTAACATTCTGTGTTTGACTCGGTGAGGAAAGCGCATCAATGATCCCATGACTCAGAGGATGTTAAAATGGAGTGGGGAACAGGAGGATGAGGAATCAGTGAAATGCCACCTGTCCAGGGACAGACCCTCAGCTGTGTGCCTGCAGGAACCTGCCTTTATCCCAACGACTCATTCCCAGGGTTGTGGGAAATCAACGCCCAGGGAAGGGAAATTCGGACACCAATAGTGGCTGAGCCCTGAGATTTTCTTCAAAGCTGCCCCACCAGGAGCTGTATTATCTGTGGCCCTGTTGGAGGGGGGCAGTTTGGGGCAGGCAGGAGCAGGAGGTGGTCAGGGTGGCGTCCATCCCCACTCTGTGGGCGCTACAGCACAGGACCCAAACGCCTTCCGTGGAAGAGGTGCCACCCAGCCACACCCCATTCCACAGACTGCTCGGCAGTGCACACACCATGCACATATTCTGCTTCAAAGGCAGGGTGGTGAAATGTTAACTTGTCACATCAAAAAGAACAGAAAAGTAGACCAGGAATGTCCACTAACAGAACTACACCATTTGCAGTCCTGTTTCAAAACCTAACCTAAGAAAACACGTTCCCTGCTACTCTACCACCTGTTTGGAGCCCAGGGTGGGTGGGTGGGAGAAAGCTTCAGTAAGGAAATGAGTTCCCTTTCTCCGTGAACACACGTGGTGAATGCAGTGGCCCCCAGGGCTCAATGCAAATCCAACTGCCCTGCCGCAGCTCCTGCAAAGGCGGTTCTGACTCTCCCTGTCTCCCCTCTGAGCACCACCCTCCTGCTTCCTGAGCCCGCTGAAGATGAATTTTCAGCTTGCTGAAGTGATGTGGGAAATGGGGTCTGGCACACCTGCAGGCACCCCTGGCATACTTTACCTGCTTCCGTAAGTCCTGAGCCGACCGATGCAGAGAGGGGTGGTGGTGGTTGGCAGCAGGCCCCTTGGCCGAGGAACCCGTGGGGGGGGTCGCTGCGGGGTGGTTCACCGAAGCCGGCTCCCGGCGGCTGTCAGCCCGGTGGTCGCTGTGCTTCTCCTTCGCGGGAGTGGCTTCTTTGCTTTTGTGTTTTTGAACAGGTTCCTTCTCCCGTGTTGACCTGCTGGAACCATTGAAAACTAGAAAAGGAAGGAGAAAACAAGAATAAAATCACTACTTGACCACTACCATGTAACCTACTGTATGGTTTGGCTTTGTGTCCCCACGGAAACCTCATGCCAAACGATAATCACCATGTGTTAGGGAGGGACCTGGTGGGAGGTGACTGGATCGTGGAAGCAGTATTCCCCATGCTGTTCTCCTGATACCAAGTGCGCCCTCACGAGATCTGATGGGTTGTTGTTGTTGCTTTTTTGTTTTTTGAGACCGAGTCTTGTTCTGTCGCCAAGCACCAGGCTGGAGTGCAGTGGTGTGATGTCGGCTCATTGCAATCTCTGCCTTCTGGGTTCAAGCAATTCTCCTGTCTCAGCCTCCTGCGTAGCTTGGATTACAGGTGCATGCCACCACACCCAGCTAATCATTCTATTTTTTGTATTTTTAGTAGAGACGGGGTTTCACCATGTTGGCCAGGATGGTCTCGATCTCTTGACCTCGTGATCCGCCCACCTCGGCCTCCCAAAGTGCTAGGATTACAGGCCTGAGCCACCGTGCCCGGCCGATCTTATGGTTTAGAAGGGTTTGGCAGTTCCCGTCTCACGCTCTATCTCTCCCGCTGCCATGTAAGACGAGCTTTGCTTTCCCTTCGCCTTCTACCATGATTAAGTTTCCTGAGGTCTCCCCAGCCATGAGGACCTGTGAGTCCATTTAACCTCTTTTCTTTATTAATTACCCAGTCTCAGGTAGTATCTTTATAGGAGTGTGAGAATTAACTGTATACATCTCCACTCCCTGAAGTCAAAAACCATTGACCATCAAGTGTCAGACGTTCTCAAAACAAAACAAAACAAAACACCAACCAGCACCTGAATGCAAATGACAGGGAAAAGCCTAAACATCAAGACACAAAACTACATTGAAAATCCTAACCATTAAAAATTATGTGCTTTAGCTAAAACAATGGAAAATACATTCTTTAAAAAACTCCCTACGAGAAAACTCCAGCACCCGTCAAAATATCAACATCATACCTTAAGAAAAAGAACTTAAACTTAGGAAAATAACAGTCTCATTCCAAGAACATGACCACCTGGAACGTAAGTAAAGACAGAGGGTATCCAGAATAAAGTGTATTCTGAGATTTAAAAGAGATGCATTTGGAGGCCAGAGAGCTATAGATGTGCATGGGTGGGGGTACAGCTGCTCTGCCTGACCTATTAGTGACAAGAGAGATGAAGAAAGGGGTGACGGAGCTTAGAGCCAGACCCATTTTCTATTCCTAAATTCAAAAACAGCAATAGCTAATATTTCTCTCTCTTTTTTTTTTGAGATGGAGTCTTGCTCTGCTGTCCAGGCTGGAGTGCAGTGGCATGATCTCAGGTCACTGCAATCTCCGTCTCCCAGGGTCAAGCAATTCTGCCTCAGCCTCCCGAGAAGCTGGAAATACAGGCACGTGTCACCACAGCCAGCTAATTTTTTATATTTTTTATAGAGACGGGGGTTTCACCATGTTAGCCAGGATGGTCTCGATCTCCTGACCTCATGAACGACTCGCCTTGGCTTCCCACAGTGCTGGGATTATAGGCATGAGCCACTGGGATTATAGGCATGAGCCACCACACCAGGCCCATTAATAGCTAATATTTCTTACTCAAGTGCTTACTATAAGCCAGGGGAACTGTACAAAGCCCTGAAGTACACTCAGCCTCTGAATCCTCAGAACCACCATACAGGACAGGACACTTACTGATGGAGAAGGTAAGCGCCTGGTACAGGCCATGTCACCAGTCCCTTGCATATGAGGCCAGCCTATGCCCAAGCCCACCACACCCCTCCGCAAACCCCAGGAGGCTACAAGTGAGAATTTCCAGTGAGTATGGTGCTTCCCACCCACTGGGCAGAAATTTCAAAAGAGAACAGGGATGCTCGGGGTTTCTGCGGGAAACCCAGTAACACCAATGTGATGGGTTTCTCCTTCTGCTGTACGGGCCCTCACATCTCTGTAACCCACAAAGGCCCTCCTCTTCCCACACACAGTCCAAACAGGGCCTATTTCTTCAGGGACGGAGGAGGGGCACGCTGTTCCTGGGTTGCTTTAGGCAGAGCAGCAAGGGGAAGCTAGAGTGATCTTTTAGCTGTCAACCTGCCGGAGGGAGTATTCAAAAGGTTACTGTGTCCACTCATCCATCTAGCAACTGAGCAACTCCAGGCCGTCCCCACCCCAACCAGCACTTGCACAGCACTTCAGGTAGAATTCCACTACCCCCACTGCGGCAGATCAAAGTGAAAATTCTTCCTCCTTTGTGTTGGAAATCTCTTCCTATTGGCTTGCAAATCTTAACTCCTCTACACAGCAGAAGTCTCCCTTCCCCCACCATTCAATCTTACATTGTATTTTAAGAGTCCTTTAAATTACATTAATGCCTTACAAATCGCAAACATTGTCCCTTTTGTCATTTACCTAAGTCATTTGCTAAGGTGCCAAATCTGCTAACACATTTCTTTCAGTTTCTTGCTTTTGTACTTAGTGTATCCTATCCTTCTGTATTTTTTCAGATAAGCAACTTTTGAGTATACACTACATTATTAGTGACTGTAGTCACGAGGCTGTCCAATTTATCTGCCAATTCTCTCTCCCCTTGAACCAACTTTGCACCCTTTCACCAACATCTTTCCATTCCAACACTCATGCTTTCAAATAGTAAAATAATCTTCTAAGTTTCCTTGTAATTGTTTTCTAATTAAACTGCTTGGATTTAATTATTTAGTCCAACAGTCCTGGTGTAAGACAGAGATGTACATTTTCCCTATCTGGACTGGATGCAAGCCTGTATCTCAAAGTCCCTTCCAGCACCAGTGATGAACAGATTTTAAATACTGAAGGATAGACCAGGCCATGTCAAAATACAGGACACGATCCGATGCTGCACAAGGTTCTACTGGATACTACTCTCTGTTGCGGAGAAAATGGAGAGCTTCATATGGCTGGCATTTATTCTCAGTCTAAGTAACATCCATTGTCAGAAACCATCAAGCATGCCCAAGATGGCAGTATCTGTGCTAGCTTTCAAGACAAATTAAAAGCAACATCCATAAGAAGTCATACTTCAATGTGATTAAAACTCAAGCCAAGGGAACATGAATCTAGGCAATTCTTGATCATTCACCAATTTTCTAAAGCAGTGAACACAGCTTCTTTATTAAAATATAGCAGAGGAAGTAGTTGCTTTTTTTTTGTAAATATCCAATGCTTCTCCATACTTCCCTGTGCTTTTTGCTGCCACTAAGACATGTCTGCTACGAAGAAGCACCAGTTCTATAATTACTTCTCTTCATTCAGGTAACAAAATATTATTCTATGGGTTTGCCGCCCTTCAAAAAATATCTGCAGCTCATGCCCAGCTGTATTATTTACAGCTCGGCAATTTATTTAATCCTTGGTTTTCCCATCTATAGACTGGAGATGGCAGATGCTCCCGTAGGTAGAACATATCTACCACAATGTCTGGGGTTAAGGAGGTACGCAGGATTTGGGAGACGTGATCACTGCATGTTTAAAAGGGCCATCTCGGCCAGGCACAGTGCCTCACACCTATACTCCCAGCACTTTGGGAAGCCAAGGCAGCAGGATAACGAGGTCAAGAGTTCGAGACCAACCTAGCCAACATGGCAAAACCCTGTCTCTACTTTAAAAAATACAAAAATTAGGCAGGTGTGGTGGTGGGTGCCTATAATTCCAGCTACTCGGGAGGCTGAAGCAGGAAAATTACTTGAACCCGGGAGGCTAAGGTGGCGGTGAGCTGAGATTGTGCCACTGCACTCCAGCCTGTGCAACAAGGGCGAGACTCAGTCTCAAATTAACAGGGGGAAAAAAAAATGGGCCATCTCAGGTTACTGCACAATCAGACTGTGGGCACATCTCTTTTTGTGTCATATCCCTCCCAGCAGAGAGTATAAAGAAGGATTTCAATGCAGACAAACACTGGTCTCAGCAAGACCCAATACACACTCCTACCACTCTGGGTCATTAACTTGTCCACACTGACCATGCCTGTTACATCTCCTACTCATGCCAGACTGTGAATGGGAATCTGTGGACCAAGGCCAAAGGAGCCAGGTGCCTCCTAATGCTTGCCAGTATCACTTTCATGGGAAAAAGAGGAGTAGCTCATCACCTGCCTGAGCAAAAGAAAAGACAACACTGAAAATACATCCCAATTTTCCACTAGTGACATGTTGTCACATCAGTGGACTTCAAAGGAGATTTACAGACCCGTCGAGGACCTAGAAACCCTTGCAGGAGAGATCTGCTAGAATCAAGACCATTTCATAATAATACAAAGACATGATTTGCCTTTACAATGGGTAGACATCTGCACTGATGGTACAAAAAATGGTAGGTTAACTATAAAGGAAATGCAAATCAAAACCACAATGAGATATACCACTTTCCATCGACTGGGACGATTATCATATCATAAAGATGGATAATGATGAGTGACTGCAAGGATATAGAGAAACTGGAATCCTCACACACTACTAGCAGAAATGTACAATGGTTTCTCCTTTAGAAATAGTTCCTCAAAAGGAGAAACAGAGGTGGCTCTCATATGACCCACCAATTCCATTTCCAGGAGCGTACACAAGGGAAATAAAAAATAAGTCCACGTAAAAACTTGCACACAAAGATTCATGATAGAATTATTATTAATACTTAAAAATTGGGGTAAATCCCCAAAGATCCAGCTGATATTTATTTGGATAAACATAAAATGGTATATCCAATGAAGTATTAGCTGTAAAAAGGAAATCAAGTATTGATACATGCTATAGCACATTTAATAGGTATGTTCTATGATGTATGAATCGTATCTCAACAAAATATATTTTTAAAATATAGGTGAAATCACTGGTATCTTAGCATAAATAAAGGCAATGGCACTAAATTACTGTACACTAATCTAGTATGCATTCCATCTCTGCTACCAGGGATTAGCAGCAGTTAAAAAAAGAGCCAGTTTTA